AGATTATTGGTATTTAGCCTGAATAGGGATAATTTACGTTCATCCCTTTTCCCAAGGCACGAGTACAAATTGACAATAGCAGACAACAACGACTTTTTGAACCTCGTTGTCAGCTGTTTTCTGCAATTCTATCGATTGCACTGCATCGTCATCCGTTGTAAATTTATGGAATCTCTAAAAAGAGTCAGAAATGATTTCATTGATCAGCACAGTAAGTTGGCTGTTTTGAAATGCGTATTATTTCAACTTATGAACGGTACGAACGATGATAAAATCATTTGGTCATGAGAGTTCTTTTCTTTCCTATCAGATAATTTACTGTTTTTCTCAGATGGATCTGCTAGGTTTTTTTGTTTTTTTTGTTTTGTTTTGTTTTGTTTTTTTGTTTTTTCCCCCACTAAATATCATCCTAGAATTATCAGAGGTTTTTATCAAACGGAAAGTGTAAGAAGTGAAAGACAAACAACAGAAATGTTTACGTTGTCTTTGCCGCATTTATTGCAGCGGGAGTGAGGGGTAAATTCAGATGTCTTGCAATATTTTTTTCTTCTTTTTGTTTTCTTCTTTTTTTGAAGAACTTAAGTCGATATTGTTACATCTCCATAGACTAGGAAGAATTTCAAGTCTTTTATCATTCCCATTCAGTTCATTTGCATTTTCCTATCGATGCTTCATCGTAAAAAGCAACAAATGTTTCGATAATGGCAGTCTCAAAACTTGGACACTGCGAGAAACAAAACAAAAAAAATAAATATTGATACGAAAACATGTCTGTCAGTAAAAAGCAAGCAACACTTAGCAGAGAAAGATGCGCAGGAATTGACAAGATTCGGGGATCACAAATAGAAACACAGGAATTGTAAAGTTTTCTTTCAAAACAAAATAAAAATGTTTTTGCCCATTAGTGAATTGTCCATTTCTCGCCACAGGGAAAAACTGAGTTCTTCAGCAATTCCAATCGAAGTAATGTGTAGAGTTAACTGCTATTTTAATTCGATGACATCACGGTTGGCACATGACGTATAGCGAAATCACGTTCAGATGACAAGCAAGAGCGCCAAAGATTTAGACGCTCCTCATTGCTATTAAGTCAGATAAAAGAAAAGATACATTCTGAAATTTCGTACACCCTTGTACAAATTAATTATACAGGAAGATGTGGAGAGCCATGATCACCTACACCCTTGTGCAAATTAATTGAAACGTCCTCCATTAAAATATTCAAGAAATTTCATCTGTCTCTTTCTGATCCTAAGTATACTTTTTGTTACCATTCTCTTTGAAACGTCTTCGTGGCTCTATGGAATTCTCAGTATCCACTTGCAGAACTACATTTCTGTTACCTCCTACATAAATACTCCGAGTGCGTGCAAACAGGTCTTTAGTGAGCCATCAATGGAGAATGACATATGTTACGCGGCATGCGCCAAGTTTTAAAAATGTCAAGCCTCTTTCAATAATAAAGAAAATAAAAAAAGCAAACCGTGCCAGTGGCGCAAGCCGCCAACAACAGTGACTTCTTCAACATTATTTACATTATTCGGACTATTGTCCTCATCTTTGTCGCCACATTTATTACAACGTTTCGGCCGTTGTACGCTCCGGCCTTCTTCAGGTGGTTGGAATGTCGAACTGAACCCTTTATTTCGCTCACTGGGGTAGACTGTTCTAGTTCCACGTGCCATGTTTAATGGATGTCAGTTATCAGTTATCTGCTGTTAATTTTCCCTCTGAAAGTTCTCCCCTGCCTTAAACGGGTATTGAACTCGCAATTTTTGGATCCTGTCACTGGTTCTAACTAACGCCTTTATCCACTGTGCCATGTGTCCTTGAGGACAGCTTCATTTAATGAGGACAATAGTCCGAATAATGTAAATAATGTACATAATACCTCATCTCAGAAATATAGACATATACTGACTTCTTCAAATTAACCAGGTAAACAGGAGCAGCAATAGGTGGCTCTGCACGAACATCCGGATGTATCCCCACGGCCATGAACACCAAGATCACGTCGTCTGTGAATCGTCCTGGGGTGGTGAAAAATGTGACACATGTCATGACATTCAATTTCTTCCCACAGAACCTCAATGGCACAACCCCACCGCCTACATCGTAGTGCTGGCCAGTTTCAAACCCTTAATCGAGGGTGTGTTGTACGTGTTCCAGCATGATCTTGTTCCCTTCCATATGGCTCATGTGACCAAAGCGTAGCTGGCTGAGAAATTTCAAGATGATGTTACCCCAAATATGTAACCTCCTAGATCTTCTGACAAATACAACTGGCCGTTTGTCTTGAAAAGGACCTCCAATCGGTTGTGAACTGAGGCAGGAATTGGCTGGTTAACTTTAATGCCTCAAAAACAAAACTGCTCTCTATTACTCACCTGAGAGAACCATCCCTGTTTGACGCTCAACTCCACGAGAGCACCTCTTTGCGACTGCTCGGTCTCACATCATCAGCTGACCTGAGATGGAACGAATACATTGAGTCAAAAGCTTCGTCCACCGCTATGAAAGTTGGCTCCCTGTGCCGCGCCAGGAAATTTTTCTCACCGGAGTCGATCCTTCAAATCTACAAATCAATCATTCGCCCTTCCATGGAGTATTGCTGACATATATGGTCTGGAGCCCCTTCTGTTTGTCTCAAAGTCCTTGATAAAACCCAGAGACGGATATGCAATGTTATTGGCCCTGATCTGGCATCTCTTCTGCAACCGCTCTATCACAGACATGCCGTTGCCTCCCTCTGTCTTTTTTACAAATACTTTCACGGTAACTGCTCCGATGAGCTGCTTTCGCTGGTTCCCAGACTTCATGAATTTAAGCGTTCTACTAGGCTGGCATCTCGCTCACACCCTTTCACTGTCGAAACTGTTAAATATAGCCGTCTCTTCTACTCCAATAGCTTCATTCTCGCACTTCTCGTCTGTGGAACTCCCTCCCCATTTCTTGTTTTCCTGATAACTATAATCTCCAACTATTCAAATGTAATGTCAATCGACGTCTCCAGATGCCCTGATCTTTCCCCCTATCCTTGTCTTCATCTTCAAGAGCCGTTATCGTCACATCACACCAAGTATCAACAAGCACCTTCAAAATGCCAAACACTCATTGATGGCCACTGTTGTAAACAACGTGAACGGGAAACGCCTGCTCCATGCAAATATCGCGCCCAAAACCGCAAAAATTTTAAATTATTTTTTATAAATGGGTCATGATCCGTAGATTACCTCTTCACCCCATTTTATTTCTTAGGAAACGACATTGTCGAGTTTGGATAATTTATGTAACCATTTATATCCGCTTTAGTTTATGTCTGGCTGCCGTTATCTGCCAATCTACATGACCCATTTATAAAATATAATTTTTAATTTTTGCTTCTTCGCTTAGTTTAAATTTAACGGAGGTCATATTTGATTGGTTGATCAGAGTAAAGCCCACAAAACTTTATGACCCCTCCGTTTTGCTTTGTTTTGTTTTGTTTTTTCGTAAAAAGAAGTCGTATTTTGCTTTTAAATCTAAACAAATCGTTCGCTACCCAGATGAGATGCATTGACACGCATCGAAACACGACTGCAATTGCGTAGCGATTTTGACATGTCTTCGAGTAATATCCTAATATATATATATATATATATATATATATATATATATATATATATATATATATATAATATATACACACACACAAACAAACACACACACATATAGATATATATATATATATATGTGTATGTATAATTATTTATTCGAAATATGTTACAAAAATAGCCATTTTGTTTCAACACTTCTTGTGTCTTATCAAGTGATGATGTTGAATATTATAATTTTCGAATAAATAATTATATTTGCTCTTCTCTGTATTGAGCACTATTTTAAGAATAGTATTTCTTGGTCATTGGAATTTATTCCGTATACACCAGTCCTATACATGTATATATATATATATATATATATATATATATATATATATATATATATAGTCATCTAATAGAATTAAATAGGACATTTTCTTTACTTTATTATATTTTCAGAGTTTCAAAATACTACATTTTTCAGAAATATATTACACACAATTTTTCTGTGCAAGTAGAGACCAAAGAATAATTTCAAAAGCAATTTCTTGACAGAAGATATTTTAAGGCATCTCATATTACAAATTATGGCGATTTTAATATTGTCTGCGATGTATATAAAAATCAAATTGCAAATGATACTTCAATTAAAGACATTTTTTCATCTTTCTGAAATGTTTTTGATTTCACTCTTCTTTCTTTCTATGCCAATTTGGCCCAGAAAGAAAGCATTAAAATATTAAAGAACACACAAATTATGTTGGATTATAAAATACTTTGGGTATGATAGATAGATAGATAGATAGATAGATAGATAGATAGATAGATAGATAGATAGATAGATATGACCAGACTGGGATAGATAGATAGATAGATAGATAGATAGATAGATAGATGAAAGAAAGAAATAGAAATCTATTGATTTTTACATGTACCAGACTTTCTATCTTTTTGTAACGTGTGTTATTCTTTCATCTCTTTCAAAAAAAGTTATTTCGTCTGTAAAGAAAGCCATTTTGAAATTGCTTTCAACTCATATAAATCTCTATTCAAAATTAAATTAAATTTCCTTGAAACAAAAACAATTTCTAATGCATTTCAGAGGGGGGAGGGGTAATCGATTCGCCTGATTGCGTTAAGCAAATCTTTCAAGTGGGAAAATCCTGTCTGGGGCTTCTTCAGTCTCATCACAACTACTAATTGCGTTAATTTCATAAAACAGCCCCAATGATGATTTATATATTTTATATTTTGTACCTACTTTTCATGCACGTCGCTCTGACAAAAAGAAAACCAACTGAGTGAACCTATTTTAGTGACTGGTTTTAAAAAGTAATATACATTCAATATGGTGTTTAGCGAGAAAAAACAAATCAGTATTACTCAATTTTAACGAGAAGAATTTTTTACATCATTATACAA